TTGGAGAAGGAAGTTATCATCAACGCATTCCAGGAACCTCCCGGATTGCTTATGCCCTGCCGTGTTGTCCCTCCAACAGAAGTCGGGGTGGTTGAAGTCCCCCATGAGGACCAGGGCTTGTGAGTGTGAGGCTGCTCCTATCTGTCTATAGAGGGCCTCATCCGCTCGGTCTTCCTGGTCTCATATCAAACCAATGCTGAAGAAAAGGCAGCCTGTTTTGATCTTTCAAATTTTACATGTATATAAGCAATTACATCATAGAATTCAAGGGCCAGTTTCAAACCAAGTATTTAAAAGCCAGACTAACTTAGGAAATGATGAGACTGAGACCTGGCATTAGAAATTGATGCTCATTATTTTATTGCCTTGGACCACCAGATGCCATATGTAAAGCCTCCTTAGAGGCTAACAAGGGAATAGCTAATCAGTCTTGCTGCCAAAGTAAGAACCGGCAGAGTAACACACTAGATTTCAGTAGTTTAACAATTTGTGATTTAACCAACCCCACTGTAGACAGAAACAAAATTCAACAGGACAGTTGCATTAAAATCTGAAGAGCAGTACTTAGAGGGGAGGACGTCATAGTTGGGGGTGAGAGTAATAATAAATACCTGTAAGCATAGAACTAAATGAAGATACTACTTTAATGAGGTGATACAAGCTCGTACTTTATACATCTATAAAATATTACTATCAGACAAGCAGAAGACTCAAGATACAGCAAAAGAATAAAAGTGTTAATCTCAAAGATCTGTGTTATGATGGTAACATAGTTTCAACCTATCCACTAGGGTCTTCTCATTCACTCCAAACTGTATCAGTTGCTGCAAACCGTTACCTTTAAATATCAGTTAACATTAGTGCTAAAACAACAAAAATCAAACACTACGTACCTTTCTAGGCAAACAATCAGGTTGTCTTTACCTCTCATCTCATTCTAAGTAAATGTATTATCTTCCAGAAAGTAATATTCACAAATGATTTTAGAGAAAAGTTACTGTACAGACACAGAAGTTAAAGTTCATAAAAAGACTAGACAATACAATTAGACAGAAGTTTGCTTGTAGTTCTTCGTATCCAAGACCTTCTTGCCACACATTGAGCAGATGCCTATAAGCACACAAAAGGTGTGTAAATTATTTTGAAATCATTACAGTTTTTCTTCAAAAACATAGTTGCTATGGTTTTGTAAAGATCATTTTCAAGAAATTGTTTAAATGAGCTCTCATTGACAATCTATCTGTGCATTTCCTCACCAGATACTGCAAATTCAGAAGTAATAATATGACTTCTAATACAAATTAGTATTTGCAGCATATGTGTAACACTGCCTCTTAAAAAAAATAAGTTCTATTTTGAAAGCATTATGATTCACAACACTGCCCAAAGCCTCTGTAATTTGCTGGAATACTGGAAGAGAGCCAGGAAAGGCTCCCATCTGGCAAAAAGGTAAAAATGGTGTATTATTAAACTTCATAAGTCCTATCGCCCAGCTGAGGCCCGAGACGGACAGAAAGTAGCTAGGCTAAGAAAATACAGCCACCAACAAACTGACTGCTAAATGGAAGATTAACAGGTGGGGAGCTTCAGACAATTGAGAAAGTTGACAAGAATACAGTTTCATAGAATTAAGCTCTTTATAGAATAGTAGAAGCGAGAAACAATGGACACCAAGAATACTTGAGAATTGAAGTGAAGATGACCACTGATGTCCCAGAGGACTTTGACCTAAACCCAAAGAGTGACAAGTCAGAAGACTAGAGCAGCAAAAAGTACACAAGTTCGGCAGGGACAGAGGGGCAGGTTGTCTCAATGTCCCTCTTCTTCTAAAGCAGAAAGGTGCTAAATCTTTTGTGTGGTAGGGCCACTTCTCATTTTACAAGACCATTCATCAGCAGACAAAAAAAAGTCAAGTGGCAACTATTCCTGTTAACTCTCTCCAAACTGTGTGCTTTCATATATTGACATCATGTGATCGGATACATATCTAAGAGTCCATTAGCAGAGAGATCAGGAGGGAACATGCCACATGATTTACTCTGGAGAGCAAAATCCAGCCCACAGGCTGTTCATTTCAGGTCTAAATTGAGGAGTAATTAACTTTAGATTGCCTCTCAATTTCAGAGATATGCAACAGTTGAAGCACTAAGCCATATAATTGCATTTGCTTCAAGAAACATGCCACAGCCACATCTTTGAAGGTCAGAACTAGAACCTAAAGCACTTGGAGTTCTGTATTTTATGAAGAAACCAGATTCAACCTGGAAGGATACACAAGCAGCCAGAGATGAAATCCTGAAGCCCACCCAAACCAGCCATAAGTTTAAGAAAGAGAACAAGGTTCTACCATATGGGATTCAGACAGCCATCTGGTGAGCATCTAGCAGCTAGAAAAGGCAACCCTCCTACAGCAGGCTGCTAAACCACTGACTCAGTGACACAGTACACATTTTTAGAATAATTGATTTCATAAACAAAACTTAACTACCAGTTAGCTGTAGCTCTACATCTGAAAACTGGTTCACCCCATGTCTGTGTGCTATGCGGATTCCTCGGTATTAATAATGTAACTGAGTTCATGTTGCTTTTTCTCCCCTCCAGGAATTAAAAGTTTGAGCCCTTTTGCTTACCTACTCAAAATCACAAGACTAGTAGAAGTTTTATATCCTTAAGGGTCTCCATCAAATTTGCTTGAAATGGATTTTTTCCCCCCCCTCAGGAATTTTTGAACAGTTTTTAACGCCACTGAAGACTTCTTATGAATATGGGAGATAGAAAGCTTCCAGGTATAAGCAGAATTTCAGTGCAGTCACTCACACATAACTCATAAGTACAGAAAGATTTTAAATATTACGTACTGCACAGTGCAGTATCTTGCTTTCTAGGGATGATGATTATATTCTTTTTCATTTTTCAGTTTCACCTTAAGCCAAGCTTGACTTACAATGCATCAAGCATGTTCACAACTGGACCAGAGACTCCTTGTAGAGAAACGAACTTTTCAATGGCTTATGTTAAGCCACTGAATGCGTAAGAGTACGTGCAGGCACAAAGACAACCATGAGCATGATTTGCCTTCAGAGACACTTTCTTAATTGCTTTTACAACTCAATTTATTTTTTTGTTCTTTGCCTTTTATTCCCCAGGTATTCTACTTTTGTTAAGCTAGCCTATCATTTCACCAAGATCAGAAGTTAGATTTTTGGTTGGGTTTTTTGGGGGGTCGATGGGTCTGGGATGTTTGGCTTTTGGTTTGGGGTTTTTTTTGTTTGTTTGGGGGCTTTTGTGTTTGTTCTTTGGTTTGGTTGTTGGTTTTCTGGGTTGTTTTTTTTTGGGGGTTTTTTTTTTTTTTTTTGAGACCACCATTTAGAGTTTTAGATTTAGCTATTATAAAAAGGGGAGAGAGGAGAAGGGAACAGAAAAGGGACTGCAACAAGCAATTGAGTTTTACAAAATCTGGAGTTTTTTTTAAAACTCAGAAAAATCAAACTTGCTAGATGACAGTTTTCTATGCAATTGCCAAAATTAAACTTACAGTTATTCTTCCAATTCTACTGCTTTACATACCAGAAACATTCTAAAAGCAGCAGAATCACAGAATGACTTAAGTTGGAAAGGATCTCCAGCAGTCTCCAGTCCTGCCCTTGCCCCACTCAAAACACAGCCAACTTGGATGAGGCTGGCTCAGGGCTTTTCAAGTCAAGCTCTGAATACCTCCTACAGAGATTCCACAACCTCTGTAGGTCCTTGTTATTACACTATTTGATCACCCTCACAGTGAAAATTGCTTTCCTTGTATGTAATCAGAATTTTCCACATTCTAACCTGTGTACATTGTCTCTTATTCGATTACTGTGCACCTCAAAAGAGTCTGACTCCATCTTCTCTATGCCTTCCTATTAGCAGTTGAAGATAGCAAATTAAATCTCATCTTAGCCTTCTCTTTGTAAGGCGAAACAAATTCAAGAGTTCCACTTGCTCTCTAATTTCAAACCAAACTGGGGTACTTTGGTACTCAGTGAAACTCACCTTTTTTATAGGCACATCCTTGACAATAATGAGACCCTGGCTGATGGACAGAACTCTTACAAATCCGACAGATTGCAAATTTGTTCTTTCCATAAGGATCAAACCTGGGAAACAGGAGAAGTATTTTATTTATACACCTTGAACTAAAGTATTTCCTCTGCCACATCCTAAAAAGTCTAAGCCAGAGGGCACAGACAGAAACTCCAGCAAAAACTATAATTTAGAAAAGGGACACACAAGGATTATTTCTAATAGGCTGCACAAAGCCTACAGAAAAGCTCCCACTTTCCCCATTAGGAGAGATTTCTTGCATTACGGACAAAAACTTAACAAAAGCAGAACTAAAAATGTGGGTTTTTTATTAAGATACCAGACTATTTTGAACTTAAATACCTTGCAGCAGCGCCTCGCCCCCTTACGTAACAGAACATCCCCCGGACATTAAGGAAATGCTCAAGAGATTGTACCGGCAATCTTAACACAATAAATAAGCCTTCCCAGCTCCTTTCCTAACAAAAGCATCAAACCTTAGCAATTTCGGTGACAACTGCAGTAAAATAGTAGCCCACACTCTATGATTCAGCAGAAAGCTCCCATGACATATGTATGGACATACTTTTACCAACTAATCAAACGTCATAATCCCCACAATTTATTTTTTTTTTTAAAGCATATTTTGGACAAGTTTTGAGCAGTTACCCAGATATGCAGGAAACAGGCCTCAGTTACAGCAAACTGACTTTTAGCCAAAAATCAGTATTAAATACTAACCTTGCCTTCTTTGAGGTCAATGCCTTGTTTTCATTTAACTTGCGGCCACCGCTTTCTACAAAAAGAATAAAACCATAAACCAATAAATTTCCCAGTTCCAAGCATACTTTAAAAAGCTTAGTTTACAGCTGTTACACACGTGCGAATAAAGTCCCAAAGAGAGATAAAACATATAGCACAGCATTAAAGCACAGGGCAACAGAACATACTGTGCTCTGCATACCGTCATTCCATACAAGGAGGAAAAAAACCAGACAAGTTCAGTACCGAAGAGCTCAGGGTGAATAAATTCCCAATGCATTAAATTAGCATGGGAGGGAAACTACAGGAGTTAAAAATCAACCGGATTAGCTATTTCAAATTTTAGCCTTAGGATCCTAAGATAGCTCAAGCGCCCAACTGGCTTTACGATACCTGAAAAACAAGGGTCAAACCTCCCCAAGATTACCTGTAGTGTTTCTTGCGCCATCTTTCCACGTATCGGGAGTGATTACCGTGCCGAGTTTCTTCTCACCTGCGTAAGGAAACATTACAACGGAAAAAATTGACACTCCACTGCGCTAATACTCACAACAAGCGCTGCCTGCGGGAGAACGACAGCTCACACACAGGCATTCCCGCCACCCACAGCCCG